CACTCACTGAGCCATGAGATCACTGAGCATAGACTCACTGAGCCATGAGATCACTGAGCAATGAGATCACTGAGCATGCACTCACTGAGCAATGAGATCACTGAGCATGCACTCACTGAGCCATGAGATCACTGAGCAATGAGATCACTGAGCATGCACTCACTGAGCAATGAGATCACTGAGCATGCACTCACTGAGCCATGAGATCACTGAGAATGCACTCACTGAGCCATGAGATCACTGAGCCATGAGATCACTGAGCCATGAGATCACTGAGCATGCACTCACTGAGCCATGAGATCACTGAGCAATGAGATCACTGAGCATGCACTCACTGAGCAATGAGATCACTGAGCATGCACTCACTGAGCCATGAGATCACTGAGCAATGAGATCACTGAGCATGCACTCACTGAGCAATGAGATCACTGAGCATGCACTCACTGAGCCATGAGATCACTGAGCATGCACTCACTGAGCCATGAGATCACTGAGCATGCACTCACTGAGCCATGAGATCACTGAGAATGCACTCACTGAGCATGCACTCACTGAGCCATGAGATCACTGAGCCATGAGATCACTGAGCATGCACTCACTGAGCAATGAGATCACTGAGCATGCACTCACTGAGCAATGAGATCACTGAGCATGCACTCACTGAGCCATGAGATCACTGAGCATGCACTCACTGAGCCATGAGATCACTGAGCAATGAGATCACTGAGCATGCACTCACTGAGCATGCACTCACTGAGCAATGAGATCACTGAGCATGCACTCACTGAGCAATGAGATCACTGAGCAATGAGATCACTGAGCATGCACTCACTAAGCATGCACTCACTGAGCAATGAGATCACTGAGCAATGAGATCACTGAGCATGCACTCACTGAGCCATGAGATCACTGAGCAATGAGATCACTGAGCATGCACTCACTGAGCATGCACTCACTGAGCAATGAGATCACTGAGCAATGAGATCACTGAGCATGCACTCACTGAGCAATGAGATCACTGAGCATGCACTCACTGAGCTATGAGATCACTGAGAATGCACTCACTGAGCAATGAGATCACTGAGCATGCACTCACTGAGCCATGAGATCACTGAGCATGCACTCACTGAGCATGCACTCACTGAGCCATGAGATCACTGAGCCATGAGATCACTGAGCAATGAGATCACTGAGCATGCACTCACTGAGCAATGAGATCACTGAGCATGCACTCACTGAGCCATGAGATCACTGAGAATGCACTCACTGAGCAATGAGATCACTGAGCATGCACTCACTGAGCCATGAGATCACTGAGAATGCACTCACTGAGCCATGAGATCACTGAGAATGCACTCACTGAGCCATGAGATCACTGAGCATGCACTCACTGAGCCATGAGATCACTGAGCCATGAGATCACTGAGCATGCACTCACTGAGCAATGAGATCACTGAGCAATGAGATCACTGAGCATGCAATCACTGAGCCATGAGATCACTGAGAATGCACTCACTGAGCAATGAGATCACTGAGCATGCACTCACTGAGCAATGAGATCACTGAGCATGCACTCACTGAGCAATGAGATCACTGAGCATGCACTCACTGAGCCATGAGATCACTGAGCATGCACTCACTGAGCAATGAGGTCACTGAGCATGCACTCAATGAGCAATGAGATCACTGAGCATGCACTCACTGAGCAATGAGATCACTGAGAATGCACTCACTGAGCAATGAGATCACTGAGCAATGAGATCACTGAGCCATGAGATCACTGAGCATGCACTCACTGAGCCATGAGATCACTGAGCATGCACTCACTGAGCCATGAGATCACTGAGCATGCACTCACTGAGCAATGAGATCACTGAGCATGCACTCACTGAACAATGAGATCACTGAGCATGCACTCAATGAGCAATGAGATCACTGAGCATGCACTCACTGAGCAATGAGATTACTTAGTAATACACTGCACTCACTGAGAATGCACTCCCTCCAGCACTCAATGAGAATGCACTCCCTCCAGCACTCAATGAGAATGCACTCACTTAGCAATGCACACTCACAGAGAATGCATTCCTTTCAGCACTCACTTAGCAATACACTCACTAGGAAGGCACATACTGAGAATGATATCACTTAGTAATACACTCACTGAGAATGCACTCACTTAGCAATACACTCAACCGAGAATGCCACATTCCCTGGTTGTAGGCCTTACGGCAAGTGTGGTGATAGCTCAAGTCACAGTCATCCTGTGAGCCAGGTCTAATGGTTTTCATGTGCTTCCCTTGTGAAGACACTTTAACTGATCCAGATTGAAACTGCACGTTCACTTCAGGGGCCTCATGTTGGAGTAATAAATCCAATCTGGCATCAAGAGTTTCTGTACATCATCACTGGAAGACAATAATTGATTTTGCTAGAACATGACGTGAAGTCATGATTTTATTAAAGACACGGAAGCGGGTGCTATGGTTTCTCTTTCTTTACTTAAATATAGCAGCAAAGAGAGTCAGTAAAATGAACGGAAACATATTGAAAATTTCACACAAACAGACATTAAAGAATAGCCAATCAGCTTCCAGAGTAGTTTATAAGTACTGTCGACAATGTTCCAAAATCCACTTTTTTTGCAAGCGAAAATGGTTAGTAGTCCAATAAAAGGAAGCAATTCAAATGATAAGAAACTTGAATGAAGAATATCAAAATTGGAATTCCGAATGCAAGGAATAAATTTCAGGAAACCATACGAATTGGGTACGGGGAGTTATGGGAACAAACTTCGAATTTCCAATATGTCCGTGTAGAATTGCACTATGAAAGAAAAATTAAATTAATACATTTGTATCAATTGGTGAAATAAACATCCATTAAAGGACCACTATAGTGCCAGGAAAACATACTTGTTTTCCTGGCACTATAGTGCCCTGAGGGTGCCCCCACCCTCAGGGTCCCCCTCCCGCCCGGCTCTGGAAGGGGGAAAGGGGTTAAAACTTACCTTTTTCCAGCGCTGGGCGGAGAGCTCTCCTCCTTCTCTCCTCCTCCGTTCCCCCCCGTCGGCTGAATGCGCACGCGCGGCAAGAGCTGCGCGCGCATTCAGCCGGTCGCGTAGGAAAGCATTCATAATGCTTTCCTATGGACGCTGGCGTGCTCTCACTGGGAAAATCACAGTGAGAAGCACGCAAGCGCCTCTAGTGGCTGTCAATGAGACAGCCACTAGAGGCTTTGGGGGAAGGCTT